GTATTCATTAGTGATGGAAGTGAGGACTTGGTCAAGGGTGAACAGTTGGGTGTTATAGAGTTACCCTTACATGCCCTTTAACCCATTGAGTCACATTTGCACCCTACTTTATTATTTTGCTCTGTCTATTGCCAGACTAATTTACTCTGTCTAATGCCAGTCTAATTTACTCTGTCTAATGCCAAATGATTTTACTTGTCAAGGGGAGAGCACTGGCACTCAATGGGTTAATCAGACAATCTGCCCATGTGTCTAATTAACCCATTGAGTTGCATTGCACCCTAATGTGTCATAATTTATTATTTTACCCTGTCTAATGCCAGATGACTTTTCTCTTTAAGGGAGAGTGCTAGGGCTCAATGGGTTAAATTAATGGTAAAATGACGGAAAAGGTTAGTTCGCTGACCTCAATGACATTTCATCAAAACTTTTTTCTTCAAGATTAGTTTAGAACCAAACTTGGAGTAGGGTTAGGATACGAGGTAGGGTTAGTATTTGTATTAGAAAAGCCGTTACTTTGTTTCGTTTTGTCACTTTGAGGCCAGCGAAATAACCTCTTCCTAAAATGACACATTATAATTATTATCATTAAACATAACTGACTCAGAACGTTTTGAACAGACTTTGATACAAATTTAATTAATTTAAAAACTGCCATTCAACTGAAGTAAACATTTTTGAATAGATTACATGAGTCACGTTTTAGGAGGAGTTACTGTTTTTAGACTTAGGGTTAGGATTAGGGTTCGGATTAGGGAAAGGGTTAGGATTAAGATTAGAGTAAGGGTTAGGTTTAGGATTAGGGTTAAGTTTAAAATACAAAAGAATACAAAATTACAAGTCTAAAAATAGTAACTCCATCCCCCTTAAATGTGACAGGTATAATAGGTTTTGGTACAAAGTTAATTAATTTAATAAAAACTGTCATTCAACTGAAGTAACTTAATTTGCTTTCAAACTCAATGTTCATATATAATGTATATGTTCAATTGTTATTTATCTGCATTATTAGAAAGATCTCTTTCATACAGATTGAGCAGGTGGTCAAAACGTTGCATCTTTTCTTTATGCATCTCTTCCATTTTTTCCATCCTTTTCTCATTTTCTTTTTTCATTTCATCTTGGATGCTGATCAAACTTTCAGTAACACTAAATCTTCTTTTTGCTGGCTTTCCCTTCTTTAGATCACCATCTTTTATGGCAATTCCCTTATCAATTGGACTGTGAGAATTTTCTTCTGATGTTCCTTCCTTATCAGGAGCTTCCTTATCAACAACTTTATACCCCTTTCTATTAGAGCATTCTGCCACTGGTACAACTGATGGATTACATGCAAATATTTCATTAAGTTCATCAAAAAATGAACATGTTTTGAAACTATTACCACTTTTGCTGTTGTGATCGACTGTTTTAACATATGTTTGTTTTAAGTTTTTGAACTTAACCTGGCATTTATGATCAGAATAAGAATAACCATGCTGATTCATTTCTTTTGCAATTTCCTTCCAAATTGATATTTTTTTCCATTTCGGATCATGAAATTTTTCTTCGTGGGCTTTGTAAAGTATTAGTAGCTGCTGAACTTCAGGTTTGGTCCACTTCTGACTCTGATTGTCTGAGGACAAGAAACATATTTCTGCTCGATTTGTAGCTGTATGATTGCCTAAGCTTGGAGCTTTTCTTACATATTGGTTGTTTTGTGTTGGTTTCCCCCTATTATTTTCAATAGCTGGGACCACAGACTCTGTTCCAAGTGAATGAAACATATTTAAATCAATTGTACCAAAGCTGGTTTCTATAGAAAGGAAAACAGTGATTAGAATAATTGGTGTTATTAAACAATGAGTATGTATGAAGTGCAATTTCATCAGTTGCTCATGAAATAATTTGAATTAAACAAGCAATACAAGTATTAGGAGGAGGGGATGTTTTTCAAATCAGGGCTAAATTATTTTAGGCCACTTTAAAATTAAGGCCTGCATGTTCATATGAGCCAGGATTGCCGGGAAGCTCTCTTGAGTGGGATGAGCTACTTCTGTGTTCATATGACTATTTTTATCCCACCTCGGTGGGACGACATGATGTGAACATTGCGTCTTTGAAATATCTTTTGTTGTATAAATTATTAAATAAACTGCACCATGTATTACAACTTTAATAGTGTCTGTCTTAGGTCACGTAAGTTTCCCCACATCGCAGCTGGGCTCATATGAACATGCCCATGGGGTAGTAGTTGCACAGTTGCAAAGCCAGAAGGATCAGGACAACCCCCCCAACCCCCCCCCCCACCTCCCCCCAATCTTTTCCAAGAGCAATTTTGTAATTTTAGAGGGTAAGAAACAGGGCAAGAAATAAATATCTTAATATCAACCTAGAAGGATACGAAAATCGGCCCAACATAAGGTTTACTGTAAATACTTTAAGTTTTAATATATTGAAAGTTTGAAACTCTGTGAGAAAATGTGCACTTTTATATTCAGAGGAAAAATTATAGATAAAAGTTTTAAGAACAGTGAAAAAATTACTTAAGTATTCTGTTTCACAGCTGCTGGAACAAAATCTCTTGTCGGTTGAATAAAATGAGCATGCTCCGTTGTTTAAATTGTGAAAACCTGAACCATACGACGGGAAAGGCTGACGGCATTTAGGGTTTTCACATAATTCTTCAGATATGCTTCCAACTGTCAAGTACGCCGGTGCTTCTAAAGCGTTTAAAAAAGTAAGGAAATTTAGTTATTAGCTTGCTTGTTTGTTTTTAGTAACCTAAACCTCGGAAAAGGTGAAAATTAAGTTGAATTATTGTGTGTTATTTTTTGTAAACACGTACAGTACCTTCTGTTTCTTTCGCCTCCATTTTCGCGCCCTTTTGCCAGCAATCCTTAGCCTGAATGGCGGGCGGTCCACCCACGGGGAGGACGAAGATCCCATGACGCACTGCGAATCAGATCAGAAAAGCTCCAACAATGCAAAAGGAACGGGAAAATTATGATCTTGTTTATGATTGAATCCAAAAAATCCACGTCTCTCAACAGATTGTTTGGATTCGAATCCAGTTTAGGATTTTCAGAAATGGAACAGTTAATCTTAAATCTGATTTCAAAATCCTTTTCTGGATTGAACAAAAGGAACGCGACTTTAGATATAGACAACCTTAAGACCGACAACCAAACACACAAAGCAACCACTGAAGAAACAAAGCAAAGGCTACAAAATTTGGAGAAGGAAAATATTATCCTGAGAAATAGTGTCATTGACCTCAAAGCAAGGTCAATGCGCGATAATCTCATATTTTTTAATATACCCGAAACGGACAAAGAAAATACAACGCAAATTATTTATGAGCTATTGGAAAACAAGATGGAAATTAAAGACACTTCAACTCGGATAAATATTGACCGGTCTCACAGGCTGGGAAAACGACGCGAAGGAGCAGACAAACCCTGACCTATTGTTGCAAAATTCAACTACCACCAGGACAAAGAGTCCATTCGTCTGAACGCAAAGAAACTTAAAGGAACGAGGACTGGGGTGGCAGAACAATATCCTGAAGAAATAGAGAAAATCCGGAAAAGTTTGTATCCTGAACTTAGAAAAGCTAAAGCTGCTGGTAAAAGGGCAAATATAGTAAGAGATAAACTCATTATTGATGGTGTTGTTTTCAACCCGTCATTAAAGTAATCGTTTCATATTTCACTTATACCTACAGTATCCCTTATTTGTTGTTGTTCCAATTTTTAATCTTAAATAGTTAAACATGTCTAATACAAATAGTATTGATAGCAAATGTTGTTCTTGTTTAAAAGAAATTGGTAATTATCAAATATCAGTAAAATGTATCAACTGTCGTAGGTACTGTCATGGTACCCTGGAGTGCATGAAAAAAACACTTGACACTGACATTCTAAAGAACCGGAAAATCGAAATATGCCAAGTATGTTTAAATGAATCTCTGCCGTTTCAATTACTAGATGATTTTGATTGTCAGGGAAAAAATAGTAATGAAAATTTAAGCGGAAAAGATATGGATAGATTAAATCAACTAACATTTAATCCATTTAGTTAAAATAATGATAACATAGCATTAAATAAATGAAAACAATGTAAACTTGGATATGGTCAACAACTTAAGAGGAGATTTTTTACAAAGTCGCGTATTTTTTTCGAAAAGCGCTCAAAACTTAGCGACCAGGCCTTCACGAAAAAAATGCTGCGCCGCCATCTTGCTTTTAAAAAATTTCTCAAAATTTGCGAAGAAAAATAACAGAATTTTACTGGATTTTTGGTTGTGTCACGAGGAAAAATATTGCCAAATATAAAGAAAGATAACACGGTAAGTGTAATATCGTACTTAGTAGCTGTTATTTAAATTATTATTATGTAAATATGCACATGTATCGGACTCAGGAGTGAGCATAATTTAAAGCTATTATAATATTAAACTGATTGAAATTCGTCTTTGGAATGATGACCTACCTGTTCATATTAAACTCATTAATATACAATAGGTACATTTTAAAACACTATTTTTGAATTTTCAAGGAAGAATTTGAACATTTGTAAGTATAATTCATTTACTTCGAATCAGTTTTTTTTTTTGCTCTGGTTTAATACTGTTGCATATGTCCATATTATAAAAAACATTTCACTGCAAGTGCACATAGCATGCATATCTGTATTTTTAAACTTAATACTGTTTTGTACACATGCAGCTGTTGCAGTGCTTCAGGTATACCATGCTAGTCATACAATATACTAAAAGTAATTGGAAACCACAAATTCATATGGGATGTAGGTGACAATTACAAGTGGAAATAATAGTTGAAACAACCTACTTTCCCTCATGCATATAACTTGATGTGGTGCGAAGGTTGCTAAACTGGGGCTGGTCATAAAGCAGGGCCTGACCTGATGAGGCAGGATGCATCATCACCAGTGGCGGAATTCACTTTTTCCGGTGGGGGGGCAAAGCCTCCTAAATTTCCGACAAAACTTTCACATTTCCGACATACCCCCCTTCCGAAAATTCATCAATTTTCCGGAAGGTGGGGGGGGGGGGCTGCCGCCCCCCCACCAAGATTTCTGCCACTCATCATCACCATGGACCCCAGGCAGGGTCAAACATGGCCACACATACAGGGGGGGTAAGCCCCCTAGAAAATCACCCCACCTATTTTGCCACTTGCACCCCACTAGAAATTTTTCCACCCCTCCTTCAAAAAAAATGAAAATCCACCCTTGGGCTCAATCAATTTTTTTGGAAAACAAAGTTGCCTATAAGGTCATAATTAAAGACCTTTTTAGTTTGATAATTGCAAAAGATTTGACACTGAACCCCCCCCCCCTCCCATCCCCTCCCCCAAGTAAATCAATCCCGATGCCACACAAAAGAATACTCAGGCATGTTAATGCCTGGGTCTGCCCACGCTTGGATGATATCTTGCACGCGCGATCTGTCAGTAATGCGTCTGTTAGAATATTCGCCCCTTGTGTGAGTATTTTAGTGAATTCGGGCGTTTGCTGCAAATCAAAATATAGTATATATGAGCGACAGGGTTATTTTGGAATATACAATGCGAAGAAGTCGTTATACTATTCAGTTTTGATGTAATAATTGGCTCTTTGTATAGCAATAAGTATTGTATCATTTGCGACAGCTGACCTTTGAACTGCTGATAAATAAAAGCTTCTTATAGTGCGCTATCTTGCGATTATTCAGTATTAATTGTTGACTGTTTCTTATTTTCAATGAAAAATTGCTTGTGAATTACAAATTAATAGCACATATAGTTCACTCGGTCTTTTCCACCATGGCATACTTCCCTTCAAGCATTAACTATGCTTCAAGATATCGGCTTGAATGCGCAATGAATGTTATTGGAAATATAATATCCCTTACAATAAGCGGTAGACTGTTTCATTATGGTGCGTGAAATTCATCACGCGAAAAACGCGTTCGACTTGCAGCAGGGTAATTTGACGAAATTTTGCTATTTTTGTTAGCTAAAAACATTTACAAGGGAACAAAGTTTCCTGCGTTAATTTGGAAACCGTACATTTATTTGTAGATAACATTTAATGATGCGTTTAACATTCGTTTGATGCCGATCATCGTAATATAGCCGCCTAAATGTAAACTTTCCGAATTTATTCAATAAATAGTGATATTATGGGTGAATGATTATCGCAATTCTGCGTCCTCTCAGTCACGAAATATACTGCTGCAGAGCCTCTGATTAAAAAGTATCATTTTTTGTGTTGTTTTTCGAAATATACATCACGTGATCGTTGCCATGACAACGAAAATAGGTCAACTTTTAGAATCTCCTTTGATAAATCATATAAAACTTGAATGGTAATAATCAAGGCCATACTTATTTTTTTATGATTTTTTGTTTATTTTCGCTAAATACACAAACTGAGACCCAGGCATTAATATACCTGAGTACTTCTTTCCCTCTGAGTTAATAATGAAAGTATATTTTTTACAGATCTCTTGGATATTACTTTTACAACATTAATTTAGATATGATGCTTGTGATGTTACTCTGAGTGTATATCCACACCGGGCAGGCTTGAAAAATATGCCTGGCCATGGTGGGAATCAAACCTACGACTTTTGGAATGCTAGCCCAATGCTCTGCCAACTCAGCTATGCGGTCAGGTCGGTTCGAGTATGTGATATTTCGGAAGTGAGTCTATTTGCTATGTTGGTGTAACATACTCAGGTGAATAAGATGCTTGTGATGTTACTCTGAGTGTATATCCA